ACACACACACACACACACACACACACACACACACCGTCTTTGTTTCCCGTCAGTATTTTAACTTTCTTTGAAAGTGATTTAAAAATCATTAACATAAATTAACATCAGAAGCAGAAATAGTGGAACAAGATAAACGTGTTGTGATTTTATCTTCGTACAGTTTTCATCACTGTGAGTTCAGCTCAGAAAAAACTCGTGAAATATTAATTTCCACGTAATCTTCGGTGCAGTGAACTCTGGTGATGAACGTGTCGTAGCTAACAGAAGATCATCGTGGACGTTGTTGTTGAATAAATCTCTAAGTTTAAAAACGTGTTTAATAAAATACACTCGATGTTTCAGTCTCTTCTTCAGCTGATGTGAAACTGCTGCATCAGAACTTTACCATCCACTGTGTCACTGTCTCTTTAACGAGGCGGAGTTTATATACACGTCACTGCTGATTGGACGACACCTGTGACACACCCACCAAACCAGAGGAAACTTTGCTCTGTTTCAAGCAGTGAGGAAACATGGAGGTGGAACGTGCTCCTGGTCTCAAGGTCAAACCAGAAGCTGCAGAAGATCTAGAACCTGATGATCCGTCTGTGACGCAGGAATAAAACCTTCAGCTGCTTCCCTCAACATTCAGTTTGAGCTTCTTCTTAAAGACGCCTCCTGTGGCTCCTTGTTGGAGATAAATGGTTTTTGAGCAGATTTTCCTCGCTCAGCAGAATCTCAACACTCGGGGCAGACGGGCGCTGCAGGCTGAAGATATAAAACACTTCCTGCTCCCAGTTTTTCTTGGCAAAAAGAAAGAATCCCCGCACACTTAAAAAAATGAAAAGATACGCTGGGAGAAATAATCTTCCATAAATCAGAGCATCTGCAGCCGCGTTCTTCAGGTCTTAGGAAAACTCATTAAAGCGTCGTCTGCGATAACCCCGACAGGTAAATTACCGTCTTTGTGCTGCACATTCGTCATAATCACATCAGGCTGCTTTTCCTCTCAGACCCAAAACCACAGAGCCAGGTTCACGTCTCCGGCTCTGAACGACGCTGCCAGCGACACAGGAAGAAATGTAAAGAACAATAAAAGAGAGACGGAGGAGAGGAATGAAAACCAGAGCCAAGAGACGCAGAGAGAATCTGACACTAATTAAAAAACACTAATTATTCCTGTAGACGAGACGCGAGGATCGTCTGTGACTCACCGATCGATGAATCATTTCTTTTATATTGTGATGAGCTTCTTTCATAATGATGAAGTCATTTAAATACAAGGTGTAGATTATGACTCGACTCTTATTGGTCGTGAAAGTTATACACAGATACTGTACGTGTGACGTCATGATGACATCACTCCCACCACATGGTCCCGACTGAAGCTTTGGCTGGAACTTTGAACTGAGCAGCAGGTGAACAGATGTTCTGAAGATTCTTCTGTTGGAACGTTCGATCGTCAGCGTCAAAGTCTCCTGTCACTGCCCGAGGAATTATACTGTGGTTGCTAAGTTACCGTGTTCCTCCTCACAGGAAAATCCACACATTCAATTAATCTGTTCATTTAATATACACACACACACACACACACACACAC